AGGAGGAAGGGATGAAAAGAGAGGGCAGGGGCGTGGTGAAAGGGTACGGTGAGTGGTATGAGGTGGAACATGAAGGAAGGGTTGGCAAGCACGGGATGGGACGGAGGAGAAAGTCAGCAAAGAGAGTGCGGCGATGTATGTGTGTGTGTGTGTGTGAACAAAACTGCCGCCGCAGTACAAGCGGTCGGGTGGATGATGACAGGAGCAGCGTACGCAGCGAGGTGGTTGCAGACGGCGGCGACGTTGTTGAAGTGCTGCTGTGTGAGCAGTGACCCGTTGGCGGCCTCAATCAACAGTCCAAATGGCAGGATGTATCCGGCGCCAAACGTGTTGGAGACCGCATAGAAGTCTGACACACCGTACAAGCGAAACGAGAGGTGGCGTGAGTGGCAGAGAATAACGTGTATGTGGTCACAATCACAAACAGTAACCACAATCACACAGCACAAATTGCACACGCACACAATCACGCAACAAAATCACACAACGCAGAAAGCAACAGGGTCGCATGTCACACCATAGCAAAGACAAACGGTGTCACCTTTGACGACGCCGTAGTTCTGCGGACATTCGCAGTCGACGCCGCTGACATGGCGGAAGGTGAGGGCCGGGTAGAACGCCGCAGCAGCGAGGGCGGTGATGATGGCGATGCACAGCCACGCGCGACGTGTCACGCGCTTGCCAAAGCGGTACCAGGGGGACTTGCGGGCGCGCGCAGCAATCGCATCAACAGCCACGACGTTGGCGCCTGTGTGTGCGTGTGTGGATGGGCCGTTATTATGGAGAGAGGGGTTGGGTGGATGGGGGTGAGAAGATGATGGTGACTGGACGATAAAAACGATTGGTGGATGGGGGACAGTGAAGAAGATAAATAAATAGCAGCAACGACGTGTTACATTAAGGAAACTCGGCATCGTCCATCACATACACACACACACACACACACACACACACACGCACACATTCACACACACGCACACACGCACACACACACGCACACACACATTCATACATACACACACACACACACACACACGCACGCACACGCATACACGCGCACACACACACACACACATTCATGTACCTGCTGATCGGGTGAGGGGCGTGTCTTCGTCCTCTGCAAGCAGCAGCATGTCATCATCATCGTCGTCATCATCACCGTGATTGTCGTTGAAGCGACTGCTGGTGCCGTGCTGCTTCGCTGCGGCAGAAGCAACAACATACCCTGCAGATGGGAGTGGGTAAGCGTGTATGTGTGTTTGCGAAAGCATGGGCGTGAGAATGCTGGCAATAGCTCCATGGTTTGTTCATATGCTCATGCTGTGCGTGCATGTGTGTTTGTATGTGTGCGTTTGTGAGGGTTGGCAGTTGAATAGCAAAATGGGGCGGCGTACGTTGCTCCTTCTTCCATGAGCAGCAGCCGCGACTGAAAGTGGGTGAAAGTAGACGCGTTGTGAGTCAAAGGAGGACTGATATGCACACTCATTTCACAAGCATATGCAAGTGTGCAGTGGAAACAGGGAGACAGCAGCCTCGTGTACCACACAAACACACGCATATACACATGCAAACATATACACACATGCACGCACACACACACAGCTAGCGTTGTACTGACTCTGTTGTTGCTTCGCGAAAGAAGGACGGGAAGATGAGGATGATGGTGGGGACAAGTGTGAGGTTGACAACGACAGTGCACGCCACCGTGATGGCAGCGGCAACACCTGCGCAGTCACGACGATGTGGCATGTGGTGATGGAGGAAACGTATGCCATGTGGTGAGAAGCATGTAAGCGCAAACAGCCCATCGTGTTGAACTTGCGCAGAAGACGCAGGGGCGCTCGCAGCTGCGCGTGTGTGGAAAGATGTGTGTATATGTGGGAGCACTTGCACGTACACATGTGGGAGCACTTGCATACACATGTGTGAACAGTTGCATATACACATGTGTGTGTGCGCGCGCTTCTGACCCATGGACGCGAGGAGCTTGACTGGTACGGAGAGGAGGGTGAGGGAACACGCAATGAATGTGAACCCCGAGACGAAGATGGTGTGGCCAGCGGTACTCAGGACAGCTGTGCACGCATCCTGCACAGACTTGCCTGCAAGGTATTGGGAGGGGGCGCGGTTGATGGTGGTGGTGGTGGTGTAGGTTCGGTAAGTTGGCGGTATTGTCTGGGAAGAGAGCATGTTGATTCTTGGTGGGTGAGTGGTAATGGGTGATTGCCAGCAAGAAGACAAGAAGGCGGGGGGGGGAGGAGGGAGGGAGTTGGATGGATTGCTCAAGACAACAAGCAAGCAAATAAACAAACACACACACACACACACAAACACACACACACACGCGCGCGCGCGCGCGGTTCAGACCTGCTCGCATTTCCTCTCTGAATCTGCTGAAGACGAAGAGGGCGTAGTCTACAGACATGGCGATGCTGAGACTCATCATGAGGTTTGGCGCAACCGCTGACACAGCCATGCTCTTGGCAACGGGTCGCATCAGCAGGAAGCTGAAAACACAACCAGCACGCGCGCGCATGTGTCAAGTGAGCAGCGTGTTGTGCTGTAGGACGAGTGGGCTATGACACTTCTGGGAGCTGGGACATACACGCACACGCACGCACCTTTGGATCTCGCACAATAACACACACACGCACACGCACACACAATAGCACGCACACACAAGCACACACAAGCACACACACACACAATAGCACGCACGCATACACAATAACACACACACACAATAACACGCACACACAATAACACACAAGCACACACACACACACACGTGTCCGCGTGGGCCGGACCTTGAGAGGATGGAGGCGGCGATGCTGAGGAGCGGCACCAGCACATATCGCGTGGACCGCAGCGTCAAGCACAGCACAACAAGCGCCGTTGGGATTGAGATGCCATCGCCTGCCATGCACATGTGTGCGTGTGTGTATGTGTGTGTGTGTGGGGGGGGGCGTAACAAGCATAATTTAGCTCGGGAAGGCGTTCATTGTTGATTGAAAACTGCCTTCTGTCCCGCGCCATTCTGGGTTCTGAGCGAATTAACCACAGGCAACCACAAGCACCATCATCATCATCAACACCACCATCATCACCATCATCACCACCACCACCACCACCACCACCACTGCCAACTGCACCGATGATGAGGTCGTTTTCGAGGGCACCGAGGATAATGTCCTGAAGTGTTGAACAAAGGAAAAAGTTGCAACAGGCGTGACAACAGCGACTCAGCATGCTCATGGAGGTCGATGCGTATGTGTGTGCGCGTGAGAGAGAGAGAGAGAGAGAGAGAGAGTGTGTGTGTGTGTGTGTGTGTGTGTGTGTGTGCGTGCGTGTCGTGAAGACACACTTACCCAGATAATGTCGTCTCCACTGCACCAGACGCGCGATCCCTGCTCACATGGTGGTGGGTGGCACACGTGTGAAATGCATGACAGCGAAATGCACCGCACACTTTGCTGAACAAACACTTTGAGCGCCCTTCACTTACAATCCAGTACAAGCAGGCGCATGCGCATGCGCAGGCGAACGTACACATGGAGATGCAACAAAGTTAACCCACACACACAGTCGCCCACACGCACACGCACACGCACACACGCACGCACACACACACAGTCATACACACACGCACACACACACACACACACACACATACCTCTGGGAGGAGCTGCAGGATGGATTTGGATGCGTCGCGGATTGTGCGCACGGTGTAGATAGTGGAGCCCCAGCCAAGGACAGTGGCGGTGGCCATGAGGCGTGATCCGTCTTGCGAACGGTAGTGTGGCTTGGGTGATGGATACGCCTGCCATCCAGAGCCCACGTAGACGTACGACATGTACGGGGTGTGCAGGGCAAAGGGGGAGGAAGGCGGGGACATTTGCTGGGCCAGTGCGAACAGCTGGTCGAAGAAGGCCATCGCCTCCTCATCCGTGATGTTGACCTTGTCGTTGCCCACCATCAGCACCACTCCGTCACCGTTTCCAAACGGGATCAAGCTCAGCGCCGCATCCGCCTGGCACGCGTGTACGTGTGAGTGTGTGTGCATGCGTGTACGCGTGCATGAATGTGCGTGTGTGTGTGTGTGAGTGCATGGGTGTGGATGCATGAACGTGCGTGTGCGTGTATGTGTGCGTGTGTGCATGCGTACACGCGAGTGAGAGCTGGTGCAGTGGTGTGTTAGCACAACTGTTTTCACACACACATGTGTGTCAAAGCTGTCCTGATCCAAGGCGATGTACTTCAGTCGATGCCCATGCAAGGGTGACCGTGAGCTGTTGTTGTTGGTGGTTTACCTGGTAGGCGAGGGAGGACTTTGGCAGGCTGTCGTCCTCATCGGCCGTTTCATCGAAGAACTGCAGTCCAAAGAGGCCGCCAGCCACCAGCAGTCCAATCCACGCCAAAGCCATCACATACCTGCGTGTGTTGATTGTATGTCAGCGGTGACGATCTTTGGTCATCGTGGTGCTTGCTACTCACATGTCACATCATCACAACAACATCGACACCACTGTTCAACGCCTCTGCCACTGTCTCGTCCTCTCATCATCATCCTCCACATGGCAGCACGCCTCACTTTGCTTTGCCATTCAGGACGCGCACAGCAGCCGCTTCCAGTCTTCCCATGGGATCAGCGTGGGCGTGCAATTTGCAACGCAAGCAACAACTGTGAGTGCACGAAATTTTGTGGGCACGGTGGCAAAACGGCGGACGCAAGCCAGCAAGCAAGCAAGCCAGCAAGCCAGCAGCGATGATTTGCGATTGTTGACATGACTCACCACAGAAGTTCCCAGCAGCGGTGCTTGCACTGTGTCACAAGTAGACAAGTGCTCACAACCGCCGGCCCACTTGTTCAGCACGCAGCCTTGGGCCGTCAAACCCTCGAAACGGAGGGGAAGGCCACAAGTGCTTACGCGCGCTGCATGGATGTGCTGGACAAGCGGTGTCTGCAGCAACCCTGAGGCTACCACGTCGGGAACCCTGCTGACCACCGCCAAAGAGATTGCTCTGCTTTGACGAGGGTCGGTGACAGCAAAGCAAGACCGCCGACGAGGCAGATGCCCAGAGGGCTGACTGCCACGAGGCTGACTGCCAAGACTGCCACCAAAGGCGCCACACACACACACACACACACACACACACACACAGAGAGAGAGAGCAGACAAGTAAACACTAGAAACTCAGTAAACAAGAGCACTAGAGCACATGTAAGGAGGAATGATCGCTGGACCTGCAAGAGAAAAGAGAGAAAGGGACCAAGACAAGGGGGTGGGGGGACAGTTGAGTGTGAGTTTGAGAAGGAGAGAGATCCTGTGACAACAAGCACACAAGCACCTCCTACTCCTCCCTCTTCTCCTTCTCCCTCTTCTCCTTCTGTTGAGCTCCTGTCGCGTCGATGGGAAAATGAACAAGTGAGTGTGTGTGTGTGTGTGTGTGTGTCGTGCTTTGCGTGTGTTGGTCTGTTGATGTGAGTGCTAAGTTACTGAGTGAGTTGCGGGGGCGTGGGTGTCAGTTGCCACAACTGGAAAGTCGCCCACAAAGTGCCACACCCACACGTCCAAATAAGCATCTAACACAAAAAAAAAACTTTGTTTGCTGCAATTGCCTACCCCATCTTCTGGGGGGCGACACTGACCCGCGAATTTTTTCCACCTTGACCATGACCAATTTTGGCCTCGCGGGTCGGGTCATCTGGGCCCGCGAGCTGGCGTTTGTGATGTGCTTTGCGTCGTTTCCCTTGGTTTCGGTAACTCCACCGTGTAATACAGACGTCCCAACACGCGCTCAGAAGAGAACCAGTCCAAGTCCTCAAGTCACATGTAGCAGAACAACGAATGCGTTCGCCCAACAGCTACAACTCAGCACAGAATTGAAAGAACCGACTAACCACTTAACTAAACAGAGTACTAGAGTACAATCCATACCTTGCTTGAATGAAGTTACCGTCGTCGATGTCGTCGACGCCGTTCCTCTGATCCTGTTGAGTAAGGTTTTGCATAGGGATTGTCATCGTCGTCGTCACCATCTCTGGCACGGGCAAGCTTGTCGTTGTCGCGTTCTTGCTCCAACTGCCCAACTTCCTCCTTCAGCACAGCATAAACAGTGTCGTCGATGTTAATCACCCCGTGTCGCTTGACGTCGACGAATCGCGAGATGTCTGCGATGCATGAGCCGAAAGGGCATCGCACCACTTCCTTCTGCAGCGTATGTGTACCATTCTTCTCGTTGCTCTGTTCTAGCCACTGAATTGCACAATCCTTCGGCTCGCCGTACACGTCTTCTACCATCTTCGCAATCCACAGCTCTTGTGCACCTCCTTGAGTCGACGCTTGCCGGAGGACACCCACAAAGGCGTTTTTGGGGAACGTGATGGAAGCGACCCTTTGTGTGTGTCCTTTACTGCCCGTCTTCGGTCGCTTGCACGTCGGCTGAAGTGGTCGGTCTGATGGCAGCTCATCTTGGCGCAGTGTCAGGAACGCGATGCGCGGCTTCTGCCCAAGAAGTGCTTTGCCAGTTGCCCTCACGCGCGATGACCGTCGACAGCTCAGGTTGGCGAGAAACGATGACATGAATTGTCGCAGGTCATCGCAATCATCCACATGGGTACGATCTCGATTGTGCCGCGTTTGAAACAATGGCCTGAAGGTTGGCTGGGCACGTCCAACAAACTCCAGGCCACTGTAGGATCTCTCTGTCCGAGTCTTGTCAAAATCAAACACTGGAGACCCTTGTGCTGCTCGCACGAGTGCGTTCTTGACAACAACGGGGAACCTGAAGGCAAGCTCCTTGTGTGTGGGTGCTGTCGTTGTGCCGGATACCAGCAGAGAGAAGAAACTCTCACACGGATCCTCTTGAAGGGCACGTGCCGTGCTGGTGATGCCGCGGTCATGCAATTGATCTAATCCGGTGCACAATATAGCAATTGTTTTTAGGGTCGTTGCGCTAATGCATCCTTGCGGGCCGTGGAGAGACCCTGGGGGCAGGAAGCTAATGGCATTGACTTGCTGCTGTCGCATCTCATTGAGATAGCTCTTCAATTCCATGGAAGCGGTTCGAAAATCAGCTAGATCACCAACGTAGCCACCATAGCCTCCGGCATCGAACACGCGGCGAATCTTCACCAGGTATTCCTTCAAGGGATCGAAACGTGTGACCAACGACACCCTGCGACCATGAGAAAATATGAGTGCATTGCCGTCAGCGGCCATGTCCGTCACATGGTCCTCCGTCTCAAGGTCCTGTGGTTGCCAAATTGAATGGCCATCACTTGTGTCCTCAAGCAGGACGAGCCGCGCAGTGCAGATCGCCAACCGTCCCGCCTCATTGGTCACAACGCGAAGTACTTTGATTCCGGACAGCCCTTTGACAGCAACTGGAGCATTGTTACCATTGCACTTGAAGACGCCAGTTGCAGTGGCAGCCACCACCTGTTGCCCACCAATGATCGCAGCATCGTGACACGTGCCAATGCCCTCGAGCCTCATCTTTGCTCTGAACATGAGCTGTCGCTTGTCTGGTTTGAATGACCCCGTCAGTATAGCGCCACATCGTGACACAAGACAGCAGTCGTGGAAATCTGCGGATGAAAACACCAGTCGATGGGGCACAACTGTTGACAGGCAAGTCCTGTCTGCTGAGTCATCATTGATCTCCCTTCTTCACGACACCACAAATTTGCACTCACCTCTCTTGTGTTCTGGAATGTTCACGTGATTTCCCTCCAACCTGTTGCACGTGCAGTGTTTAGCTTGTGCTGTGGTTGCTCGATGTTGCATGCTCTTGCATAACACTCCACATAACCACACAACTCTCAACAAACACTGCCACGTCACCACTTTGCGTTGTCGACAATTCTTGTCTTCTGCTCTGTTTCTTTCTGTTGGAGTGTTCATTCATCCTACATCCTTGTTTGCTTCACAACTCAAGTAAACACACACAACTCTCTCTTGCCAAGACAATCTCCCACACAACACACAGCACACTCTGCACACACAGCACACACAGCACACACACACACACACACACACAAGTCTCCAACAACAGCACCACCACCATGAACTTGCAACAACAACTCCGGCCTCTTCTGCATGTAGGTGTACTTGCACGAAGCGTGAAGAGCGGGCATCGAAAGTATGGATTCGCCCATCAACGATGACAAATATATAAGTAGCAGCTCTGGAGATGGTGGTCTGGCCAGGCTGAAACTTGAAGAGGAGTTCTGGCTGCCGCGAGATGCGCCGTGCACGAAAGAACTGGCCATTGTCATCAACAAAGAAGTCTGCATCCACCCACGAGCACAGAGCCACAATGATGCCGCATGACCAGCTCTGGTTTAACAACGGATCAGGGTGCAGTGTGACGACGGTGCTTCCTGAGGGCAGGTCTTCGGCAGCATCAAGCAAGCGCCGCACATGCAGGTGTGCCATTCTGTCTGCGGGAACCACTGTCGAAAGTGGAAGCAGCCCGATTAGCATACGAGTGCTCACTGGAAACCCTCTGAGGCGGATGAAGGCGTTGACGAGTGCATTCCGGAGACACTTGATGGCATGGCCAACGTCGAGTAGGCTTGCGATGCCCGGAAAGCCCTCTTGAAGGGCTCGGCGCTGCCCTGCTTCTGAATCAGTGGAGATTGCCACGATGTTGAAGAAAATGCAACGGGTTCCTGCTGTGTCACATGCAGTGCAAGTGGCAGACACTGGATCAAGCTTGCATTCCAACTTGGCGTCGATGCACCGAAGGCAGCGATGTATGCCGTCCAAGAACGAGCTTATCATGCGGTGAAAGTCACCCCACGCCGACATCTGGTGAGAGTACGTGATGGCAACTGGAAGACAGAATGTGCTGTCGAGGGTGGTCACGACTGCAATGTGTGCTGTCTCCGGCAGCAGATCGCCCAGGCCTCTTCCAAGCAAATCGTCACGTGTGGGCCATGTGCGCTTGGCAAGAGCACGCGCGCCTCCATCCCGAAGCAGTCTGCTCCACGCAGCGCTGGGCCATGCCAGCTGCTCTACGCCGACATCGCCGGTCCGCTGGAGGAGACGTCGCTGCGAGGTGCACGCTACGCGCTGACCTTCATCGACGACTGCACGCGCTTCGCCTGGACGTTCCTCATCCGGCACAAGAACGACGTCGGTGCGGCCCTGGAGCAACTGCGCAAGGACCGCCACGTCGTCAACGCGCTCCGAGGCGCCACGCTACAGACGGACAGCGACGCCGTCTTCAAGAGCCAGGACTTCACCGACCTGTGCCTGGCCTTCGACATCAAGCAGCGCTTCTCGCCACCGCACTCGCAGGCCAAGAACGGATCCGCAGAGCGCACTTTCCGCACCCTCTTTGAGACGGCGCGTACGATGCTGTTTGCTGCGGACCTGGACAAGCCGTTCTGGGGCTTCGCCGTGCAGCACGCCACGCTGCTGCACAACATCGCGCCGCGCAGGAGCCTCAAGGACAAGTCACCGTTCGAGGCCCTGACTGGGCACGCCTTCGACGTCAGCCTGTTGCGCGTCTTCGGCTCGCCGGCCTACGTGCATGTGGAGAAGAGCAGCACGCGGCACAAGCTTGACCCACGCTCACGCGTTGGCGTCTACGTCGGCTTCGCCGAGGAGGACCAGGCCCACGTCGTCTGGATGCCGGACACGCGACGCGTTGTCCACACCATCCACGCTCGCTTCGGCGCCATCAAGAACAAGCACGCCGCCTCCTCTCAGCAGCAGCAAGAGCAGAACAGCGGTGCCTCTGCTTCGCATGCCAACAATACCGCTCAGCGTTCGACCGAGGACAGTGCCACCGGCGCTCCCACTGCACCACGTGCGGGGGAGCTGCAGCTCCAGCCACGCGCCCTTGGCGGCTCCGTCTGGGACCAGCTGCTGGTGTCTGAGACCCTCAGCGACAACGACACCTCTGGTGGCTCAACCACCACGTGTCACGTTGCCACCAGCGCTGCTGGTACGGGGGAGAAGACATCAGCAGTGGGTGGTCATCTACCAGACATCGCTGCTGGCAGTTTTGCCACGTCAGCTGAGCCAGGCACCGTCAAGGAGGCGCTTGCCTCGCCAGACTCTGAGGAGTGGCGCCAAGCCATCCTGGACGAGTTTGCGGCAATGCAGGCCAATGACGTCTACGACGTCGTGCCTCGCGCTGACCTTCCCAAGGGCCACAAGCTTCTCCGCAGCATGGTCATCTTTCGGAGGAAGCGCGATGACCAGGGCAAGGTGATCAAGTACAAGGCGCGCTGGGTTGCCAAGGGCTACTCCCAGGTCCACGGTGTCAACTACACAGACACCTTTGCCCCGACGGCTACCATCGCAGCCATCCGCACCATGCTCGCCATGGCCGTCGCGCGTGGCATGGACATCCAGCAGATGGACGTCAACACGGCGTTCCTCAACGCGCCCGTGGATCACGAGATCTACGTCCAGCCACCGGCCGTCGACGGGATCTTCTCCCCGAGTACAGTCCTGCGCCTCAAGCGCGGGCTGTATGGGCTGAAGCAGAGCCCGCGCCTGTGGAACCACACGCTGGACGCCTGGATGCGCGAGCAGGACTTCGTCGCTACAGCCACGGACGCCTGCATCTACCGCCGCACCTGCAATGGTGGCAAAGTGATGTGGGTTGCCGTCTACGTGGACGACCTGCTCATCTTCGCCGACAGCGACAGCGACATGGCCGCGTTCAAGAAGGCCATCTCCAAGCGCTTCAAGATGAAGGACCTGGGCAGCCCAGACATATGTCTCGGCATCAAGGTGCAGCACGACCGCAAGGCCAGGACCGTCACCATGAGCCAGGAGCACTACCTGCGCAGCGTGCTGGAGACCTTCGGCATGGCTGACTGCAAGCCGGTCGGCACGCCGCTCTGCACTGGCTACGTCGACAAGCCAGCCGACAAGGAGGAGCCACTCCCGGACGTGCCGTTCCGCGAGCTGCTTGGCTCCCTCCTCTATGCTGCGACGATGACGCGCCCAGACATCTCGGCGGCTGTCTCCATCCTATCTCGCCGTATGCAGCACTTCGGCATGGACCATTGGAAGGCTGCCAAGCACCTTCTTCGCTACATCAAGGGCACCTTGTCCTACACCATCAAGTACGCCGCCACTGGCGACACCAGCAACGGCAGCACTGCCGACGGCGTGCTCTCAGCGTACTCGGATGCGTCGTTCGCCTCCGACGTTGACACGCGACGTTCCCGCACGGGCTTCGTCGTCTTCTGTTCCACGGGCCCCGTGTCCTGGAACTCCAAGCTGCAGGCCACCGTGGCCACAGCCTCCGCCGACGCGGAGTACATGGCTCTCGCAGCCACCGCACAGGAACTCATGTTCCTTCGCCAACTCCAGGAGGAGCTCACCGGCGCTGTCCTGTGCGAGCCCACGCTCATCCACACGGACAACCAGCCGGCGCAGCGCGTTGCCGAACACGCCGCCTCGCGCATGCGGCACATCCTCGTCAAGTACCACTACATCCGCGAGTGCGTCGACACCAAGAGGATTGTGCTGAGCTACCTCGCCACGGAGCACATGATCGCAGATCTCCTCACGAAGATCCTCCCTCGGCCCAAGACGGCTCAGTTCTGCACGATGCTGTTCGACCAGCGTCCTCTGCCAGGCTACCAGCCACGGGCCCGTCCTCATTCGGGCCGGTCGCCACGTCCTTCGACTCCGCGTCAGGACCTCTGAGCGGCCGCGCACCACAGGACACGCCTTCACTCGGGCCAGCCTTCCACAACAGGCTGCGCACCACAGGCACCAACCATTTTCTTAAACGTGTTCCACAACACACGTCCTTACTCACATCTCACCTACATCTGCCCATGCCATTCCTACATGCATGACATCATCCACATGCTCATCACGTTTCAGAACATCAACGCAGCAGAGAGGTAGGTCAATGCGGGGGAGTGTTGACAGGCAAGTCCTGTCTGCTGAGTCATCATTGACCTCCCTTCTTCACGACACCACAAATTTGCACTCACCTCTCTTGTGTTCTGGAATGTTCACGTGATTTCCCTCCAACCTGTTGCACGTGCAGTGTTTAGCTTGTGCTGTGGTTGCTCGATGTTGCATGCTCTTGCATAACACACCACATAACCACACAACTCTCAACAAACACTGCCACGTCACCACTTTGCGTTGTCGACAATTCTTGTCTTCTGCTCTGTTTCTTTCTGTTGGAGTGTTCATTCATCCTACATCCTTGTTTGCTTCACAACTCAAGTAAACACACACAACTCTCTCTTGCCAAGACAATCTCCCACACAACACACAGCACACTCTGCACACACAGCACACACAGCACACACACACACACACACACACAAGTCTCCAACAACAGCACCACCACCATGAACTTGCAACAACAACTCCGGCCTCTTCTGCATGTAGGTGTACTTGCACGAAGCGTGAAGAGCGGGCATCGAAAGTATGGATTCGCCCATCAACGATGACAAATATATAAGTAGCAGCTCTGGAGATGGTGGTCTGGCCAGGCTGAAACTTGAAGAGGAGTTCTGGCTGCCGCGAGATGCGCCGTGCACGAAAGAACTGGCCATTGTCATCAACAAAGAAGTCTGCATCCACCCACGAGCACAGAGCCACAATGATGCCGCATGACCAGCTCTGGTTTAACAACGGATCAGGGTGCAGTGTGACGACGGTGCTTCCTGAGGGCAGGTCTTCGGCAGCATCAAGCAAGCGCCGCACATGCAGGTGTGCCATTCTGTCTGCGGGAACCACTGTCGAAAGTGGAAGCAGCCCGATTAGCATACGAGTGCTCACTGGAAACCCTCTGAGGCGGATGAAGGCGTTGACGAGTGCATTCCGGAGACACTTGATGGCATGGCCAACGTCGAGTAGGCTTGTGATGCCCGGAAAGCCCTCTTGAAGGGCTCGGCGCTGCCCTGCTTCTGAATCAGTGGAGATTGCCACGATGTTGAAGAAAATGCAACGGGTTCCTGCTGTGTCACATGCAGTGCAAGTGGCAGACACTGGATCAAGCTTGCATTCCAACTTGGCGTCGATGCACCGAAGGCAGCGATGTATGCCGTCCAAGAACGAGCTTATCATGCGGTGAAAGTCACCCCACGCCGACATCTGGTGAGAGTACGTGATGGCAACTGGAAGACAGAATGTGCTGTCGAGGGTGGTCACGACTGCAATGTGTGCTGTCTGTATGAGCTTCGCGCTGCGCACCCACTGCACAAGGCTTTGGCCTTCCACAGCCGCACGTAGCTCTTCTGCCGAGGTCGTGTCGGACAGTCCAGTGACTTGGCCATAACTGGGAACAAACTCCACGCAAGAACTCAACGCCATGCCGTCAACCGAAAGGCACCCGTCAATCGCAGTGGCGCCGTCCATACTGAGGAGTCTCAATGCGTTAGCAATAGCTTCATCATCGACGGCCGATTGAAACCGAGGCAGGGGCGCATTCCTCTGCATCGTTCGCTCGGACGGCAGCGGAATGCCTGCATTGCGCATTGCTGTGTAAGGCTTGATCCCTGCATACACACTTGCTGCTAGCATGTTCAGTGCGGGCGTTTGCGGAACCCTGGCTGTTGGCAGAGTTGCCCCGAAATGTCGATGTAGAGCCAGAGACAACCATTCTCTCATAACCGAGGGCATCCCATCTTCCATTGTAGAATACAGGATGGCAAGGTGACTTGGCATATACGAGCTGTCTTCGTTTACTTCGTTGATCACTTGCAGACAATCAAGTTCAGCATGCAGAAATCGACGCAGCACATGCAGGGACGGGGCGATGCGCTTGGTGCGAACAGCTGTCTCTGCAGCCCTTGCCACTTGGAATATGTTTAGCTGCCGCATTCCTCCAGTCCGCTTGTGACAACGAGATCTATGCCGCCCAAGCTTTGTCGGGGCAACAGAATGGAGCTGCTGCAGCTCGCCGCACTTTTTGCAAACACACGTGTAGACTGGGTAGCCTTTGTGCAACCGTGTGCGCTTGAGGATCAGCCCGTGAATGTTGAGACGGTGACGTATCTCTGCCTCGGTTAGTCGTCTGCCCGACTGCGCTGGTGATGATGTTGTCGTTGTTGATGGCGTCGTGGTGACAGCAGTGGTGGCAGCAGTGGCGGGTGCGACCTGGCACACGGGTGGTGTTGTCGTTATTGATGGCGTCGTGGTGACAGCAGTGGTGGCAGCAGTGGCGGGTGCGACCTGGCACACGGGTGGTGTTGTCGTTATTGATGGCGTCGTGGTGACAGCAGTGGTGGCAGCGGTGGCGGGTGCGTCCTGGCACACGGGTGGTGTTGTCGTTGTTGATGGCGTCGTGGTGGCAGCAGAGATGGCACCGATGTGTGCCGTGCTGTCTTCATCGCTGTCGCATCCAGCATCATCGTCGTCATCACAGTCCATGCGACCATCGTCACTCAGGCTCTGGCCAAAGCCCTCTCCCTGCACAAGCTGGTCTGACACGGTCACCTTGCATGTCATGTAGCGATCTTTCTGAGCAAGCCGAAACAAGCCCAAAAACGACTCATGCGACACAAAGATGGCATGCTGGTGCAATGAATCGTGCACGCGCACCCTTGCGGTATCGAGGGTAGCCAATGAAACCACGTTCGCATCCGTGTCTGGTCCGGCCATCGTGAAAAAAATTGTACCACATGCACCGAGAGCGGCCGCCAAGGATGCCCGCATAGCCATGGATATACGGACGCTGTCCATGGGGAAGTCTTCCTGTGCCGGTTGGTGCTGTAAGGTTGTCTGCCAATCAATCTGATTCCTGGAGTACCTAACCATATCAAGCGACATTGTTCACGATGTGAGTGCTTAAGAATGAGCAAACTTCGATTTGCAACACGCACAATGATAGGGAAGCCGAACCTCACCCTCGAGCTCGCATACGGCGCAGCGTCCCCTCACGCACGAAAGAATATCAATCGACTGTCCCACCCTCCAACTCACAACAAAATACCTGAGTGGCATGGCAGCTACAGCAGGGACCTCGCTGTCTTCCATGAAAACAGCCCTCACGTCTGTTTGAATGCGCTGCAAAGTGCGAGTCAATGGTAGCTGGCACAACACAAGCCGACACACGGAGGGAAGCCGATTGGAGGTGAGGGACATGATTGTAAGAGGTGTCGACTGTCTGGGCGCGTGCAGAGTTGTCGCATAGCGAACGCGTTTGAGAACAAACGGCGCCAATGACGACAACAACTCCGACTGGGTGATTGATGGCTGTTGCTGATCCAAGCGCGAGATCGGCTGTGCTGCACAGGTGCTGTCTGTGCTTGCCGCTTCGCCTTCGTGGGACTCGTCTTCGTCATCGGACAGGTCAATCTGAAGGGTGGCTGGTGCTGTTGCAGGCGTGGTCTGAGAAATTGCTGTCATGACGATGTCAGGTCGTGCGTCGTACTCGACGACACGGGCTTCTGCACGAACCCGCTTCAGGTATGCGTATGAGTATCGGTCGAGCTTGGTTGCCTGTCCATAGAATGTGAATGTCATATTGGAACACGCACCACCGAGTGTGCGGTGGACGTGAGTCATGAACTCGTCGAATTGGTCGCACAATGGTAGCAACTGCTGCGCACTGTGTCCGGCACTACGGCTGCGAAGCATCACAGGGTCCATGTTGTCGTGTCAAGTTGCTGTGGTGTTACGGGTCAAAGTGCTGGTTCGTCACCAAACGACGCGCTTGTTGGTTTGGGTTCGTGCTCGTGTGTGTGGTCGAAAGTGGTTGCGGTTGTTGTCGTGCACGCAAGAGCCGACGAAGCTACCGACAGCACAAGGTGAATGCAGACTTTTATGAACGATCTGTGACCGCGACCAATTTGAGGGCCCGCGGTCGGGTCATTTGAAAAATTCGCGGGTCAGTGTCGCCCCCCAGCATCTTTGAGCGCTGGGAGCAGTGTAAGATTTCAGCGAGTTTTCCCCAATAAACCCACAAACACCCAAAAAAAAAAAACACACCCACAAAACGGAAACACTTCTTTCGCCTCTGGCTTTCGTCAACAATGAAATGGTTTTTGTGTGGACCAGTTGAAAAAGGTTCCCGCCCACCACCGTTTGGCTAAACGCACTCACATTCGAGCTCATCCCCTTGACCCCCACACCCACTTTGAACATCATCAAACTGCACACTTTTGAGTTGAGCCAGCAGGTCAGTGCTGTTGGTGTGTGAGTGAGTGTGTGTGTCTGTGCGTGTGTGTGTGTGTGTGTGTGTCACTCACTCTCTCGCTCACTCTCTCACTCACCTTCACTCTCTCACACTCACTCTCACTCACTCTCACTCGCTCTCTCACTCACTCTCTGTCTCTCACTCTCACACACACACTCACTCTCTGTCACACACACACACACACTCTCTCTCTCTCTGCCCCTGTGCACACACACACCTGTCTCTGCCACGTTCCTCGTGCCTCACCTCCTCCACACTGTCAACATGGGAATCTCTGCCCATACTAACTGCGTGCGTTTGCATGCTCTCTTCTGCAGGGCAGTGATCTTTGTTCTCATGACGATGCAGCGAACTGCAGAGGCGGCACACCAAGCAACCCAGCGGCGCATCTCGCAGATGCTCCAGCAGGCATATGCGGACTTGAAACCGGGAACCATGTTCAAGAGCAAGGATGGTGTGTTACGTGCTTTCACAGCCGTCGCTGTGTTCCATGGATGCAACCACTATGTGAGTGCCTTACCTCGGTGTATGCGTATGCGCCCACGTCCTGTGTTTGTACGTGCTTGCATGCGAGCAAGGAAGCACGCGCCGTCCACTCACTCACAAACACATACTCTCTCGCTCTGTCTGCCTGTCTCACACACTCTCTATCACTCGCACTCACAAACACATACACTCATACACACACACTCCACACACTCTCGTACACACACACTCCCCCTGTCTCTCTGTCTATCACGCATTTTCGTGCACCCACATACATCCACATACACACTACATCCACACACGGATCAACACGGTTGGTTGCAAGGCAAGGGGGTTGAGGTGCCTACAGCAAGCACGGCAGCAGATGCCTCTCGGCGGTGTGAGCAGCAACAATCCCACGAGCAGACCCAAGGACAGCAGCGCTGACGTGGTGGGCACAACTCCGACAGCAGGGACTTGACGTGCGCATTGTCGCGTATCCCATGGGTCTGCACGAGCTGTGCACCATACTTGCGCATCACGATGGTGTGGTAGACATCGAGTGTCTCCCACAAGCAGACTTCGTCCTTGCTCGGTGAGGCAATGTTTTTGTGTGCTTGCGAATGTGTGTGCGTGTGTGTGTGCGCGCGTTTGTGTGTGTGCGCGTGCGTGTGCGTGTGCGTGCGTGTTGTATGCGTGTGCGTGCGTGTTGTATGCGTGTGCGTGCGTTTTGTGTGCGTGTGCGTGTGCGTGCGCGTGTGTTGGTGTGTTGTGTGTGTGTGTGTGTGCGTGTTTGTGTGTGGTTGTGTGTGTGTGTGTGTGCGTGCGCGCGTGTGTGTGACTGGATAACCCTTTAGCCCTTTGACCCTATTCATAATGTGAGCGGACGCAGCACATCCTTACATGTACAGTCACTTGTGTTCTCACGCACAGGTTCAGGGGTCATGAGGATGTGGAACTTGTAGTTGTGGACATTGATGGCTGTTGCTCCATTAGCTACATTTCGTGTACAGATCCTTTACGACACTCGGCAAGGCCACAGGACTGCTAGGAGCAGGATTCTGTTGGCGTGGCATGCGATGAACGCAGCACCAGACCTTGTTCAGGTACGCACTGTATGCTTCCATGTATGTGTGTGTGTGTGTGTGTTGCGTGTGTGTGTGATGGCTCACGCAAGTGTCTTCGCTAGCGACCGCGTCGTTGTCCATCTCGCGCCACTGTGCATCCCTTCCCCTCACCGTCGCATCATTCCATCATTGTCTATTGTCACATCCACAACAGATGAAGAAGGGTGCACAAGATCTTGGTCTGCTGTGGGATGAGCATGTCTGTCACCCGTCATATCCACGCGTTTGTGGCTGAGTGCTGACGGCGTGTGCGTCACAGCTTCTTTGACGAGCATGACCAGCATCGTGTCGCAGTACAAGGAGAGGTTCCGAACCTGCGCAGCTGCAAGCAAGCTGCCAATCTCAGCAACCACCACCAACCTCACGCCCCTGCCGTCCATTAGTGGCTATCTACGCTGCAGCGTTGATGTTGGAACGCTGACCAGACCGTGTTTCGGGTGTTGTGGATCTCCGTGGACCATCGCGGACGCCTCTCCTCCAACTAGCCAACTTCACTGACGCCATCTTTTGCGATGAACGAATTGACGCTTGTTTTGTGCGCGGAGGACATCGTGCTCTCACAACACATCTCCGTGCTTCGATTTGACGGCAAACTTGGTCCGGATGCCAGTTGTGAGGATTGGAAGTGGCACGAGGAGCGAGCTGTCCCAACTCTCTCAGCTCTATGTCATGGAACGTCTGCGTGCTCTGCGTGCTCTTGTGTGGAGCACCCACAACATCCGGACTTCTGGACAACCCTCTCTGAACGCTTCAACAGAAGAACAGAGTCAAGATCCAAGAAGCCCCACTGAGCACATCGCCAATCGTCCGTTTTCACCAAAACACCACCCACCCACTCTCCCACCATCAGTCATGATACGAGGTCTGCTGGCGATCTTTGTGGTGGGAGCGCTGTGTCGCGTGTGCCCAGGGACCGTGGTGCTGGAGGAGGACGGCGCGGGCGCGTTTCACATCAACACGAGCGATCCTCACCTAGTAGGGTCGCCGCTTCCCATGGCTGGTCTCACTCCTGTTTATGGTGTCGTAAATGCGATTTCTGGGCGTTTTTCGTTCTTTGGCGTGGGTGGTGCTGTTGCCCACAGCCACTGTGCGCCTCGCGCGACGTTTGCGTAGCAAAATGCGCGTCGCACCAGCAACAGGATCAAGGCCGCAGGTTGCTTGCATGCATCGAAAAAGTGGCGATGGCAGTGGCGTATCGCCAAAACACACACACGCATGGGTGAGGAGGGCGAGACAAGCAAGCAAGGGAGCGAGAGCGAAGGGGAGCAGGCAAGCAAAGTGAGGCGAGAGGAGAGTCATTCACAGGTGAGGGAAGGAGGTGTCGTCGTCGCAGCAAGGATCAACCAAGGAACAGGAACTCAACCAAGGAGCAAAAGCAGAAGCAGGAGCAGGAGCGGGAACAGGAGCAGAAGCAACAACTCCGGTTTGATGCAGACAACCGGCGCCATGATGATGGAGCGCGTGCTGGTGCTGGTCATGTTCTTCTTGGCAGCTGTTGTTGGTGGTGGCTTGCTGCAGGTGGATGCACGGCCGGTGATGTCAGCTGCAGCAAACACTGTGGTGCGACGAGCCACGGGAGACGCAACACCATGCACCATTAGCTTCTTCGCATGCCTCGGCCAGGTGTGTGGGTGCGTGGGTGTGGTGGAGGGGGGGGGGGTCGTGGATGGTTGTGGCACTAACACACACAAAAGCAAGAAAAGCACTCGCATACGCATACGTGCACACACAAAAGCACGTGCACACACATACGTGCACACACAAACACACACACACTAACACACAAACACACACACACACTAACACACAAACGCGCACACACTAACACACATACCGCTCGGCAGGAAACGGTGGATGCTGCACCGTCTTTCATGTCGTTTGCAGAGTGTGTGGTGGACAGTGGGCACCATTCATCCTCTGCACAAAGTGCGCTGGACAGCTGCGAGTGCAGTGCTGTCACACCCAGCAACAGCCTCACCTCAAATCAGGACGCCTTCTACTGCTGGTGCGTTGGGGTGTGCGGGTGCGTTTGTTTGCAGGCGTAGGTACTTGCGCGCGGGTGTCAGGCCATGCACTGGAGTGCGTGCTGTGTTGCTCACGCTGCCATGCCTTGGCACTACACATCAGGCTGGACTGTGCGCTGGATACAGCAGATATCGATTGCGAACGCACGACAACCACTACAACGACAACGACAACGACAACGACAAGGACAAGGACAAGGACAAGGACAACGACAACGACAACGACAACGACAACGACAACGACAACCACAACCACCACCACAACCACAACCACCACGACAACTACCACAACCACCACCACCACCACTACCACAACCACGACAACCACGATAAGCACTTCATCCAGCTCAACTGCGTTTGATGTGCCGCGCCCTTGCTTGACCAACGTACGGTGGTACCTCCCTTGCCTGCAAACAGTGGCGAACCTAACAGTGTGTATCTTATCACTTGGTGTCCAACCAGCCCACCCTCACCCGCACTCACCATGCATCGTCACGTTTGTCGTACAGTGCAACCCTACCTTTGAGGAGCGCACTTTCATCAGCACAACCGTGCCAAACGCATTTGAGCTGCACGCTGCAGATCTTGACGGCGATAATGACCTGGGTACGTCGCTGCTCCGTCTTGCGTGGGCGTGTGTGGCGTGTGTGTTGGTAGAATTGGTTGAGCGACCGCTGTCTACGCAAATGCATGAAGAGCTTGACGCTCTACTGCTAGTGCTGTTTATGCTTCCTGCTGCCTCTGCTCTTTCCTGCTACTTCTGCCCCTGCTGTGGATGGTGCTGCTCTGCCTGGTGCTTTGAGCATCACGCAGCTACGTCGTACTGACAGCGATCTTGTGTCATTCTGATCCACGATGCAGACTTTGTGGCAACTGTCATGGGTGCCAACGCGTTTGTGCTCTTTGAGAATGATGGAACTGCAACTTTCACGCCCCATCCGTTCCTGTCTGGTCGAAGCAAGCCACGGGACGTCAAAACAGGTGTGTGTGTGTGTGTGAGAGTGTGTGTGTGTGAGTGTGTGTGAGTTTCTGTGCATGTGTGTGTGAGTTTCTGTGCATGTGTGAGTGTATGTTTCTGTGCATGTGTGAGTGTGATCGGGTGTGTGTGCGTGTGTTGCGACGTGCTGCCGCGGTTCTCACATGCGATGTTGCCCGTCTTGTTTCAGGCCACTTTGATGACGATGGCGTCCTGGACATTGTCACCGTCTCGGAGGATGACGGTGCGTGTTTCGAATCCGCCAATACGCAGCCCGGCCAATTTGCTTGTCCATGCTGTGCAGCGCATTTGCGCCCTTCCAATCCCTGTGCATATTGCACAGCACTTTGTGGGCTCACACCTCCACGTGCTTTGGTACCTTTTGGAATTGCGTAAATGCAGGCATAGTTGCTGTCTCGTATGGCGTTGACGGGTCACCCTTCACGTACACGACCTACGAGATCCAGGACTCAAGCATCGCTGTCGGTGCACTCGACGTTGCAGTCGGCGACGTCAACGGGTGCGCTGCAATCAAACACACACACATACACACACATGTGAAGGAGAGGCTAACGTGTTGGTGGGTGTTGGTTTGTCTGTTTCAAACTCTCACAAGCGGATGTTGCTGGGAGCGAGGTCATTAGAGTGCCCTTATGCCTTCTTTACCTTCCGCTCACTCCATGTCTTCCGCTCACTCCCTCACTCGCCCCGGCTCTCAACACGGTAGCGATGACCTCTTGGACGTCGTCGTCGCCTGCCGTGACACGAATCGCATCGTCGCATATCTCAATCAGGGCACCCGAGGTGGTGAGTGTTAGAGCCTGCGCTGTCCCAGCAGCCCGCACCTGCACTGGTGCACGCGACACACACACACACACACACACACACACACACACACATTCACACACACATTCACGATTGTTCATCAACATACATGTGTGCGCTGTGCCTTTGGTTCGGTCCCTCAGGATTTACGGAAGTGGTGGTTGACAGCAGCATTCTTGGGCCAACGCGCGTGGCCGTTGTCAACTTTGATGACAGCAGCAATGCAACAATCCTCGCCGCTGCACGCAACGAGCCCGTGGTATGCACGAATCATACAACCGCTCCCTTTTATGACTCCAGTTGCTGGGTTTGCATGGCCTGGCACCTGCATAGCAGGCCGTGCACGTGTGTATGTGAATGTGGGTGCCTTTTTGTGTTTGTACATGTGAATGTGCGTGCGTGTGTATATTTTGATTTGATTTGTGTTTGTGCATACACTTGTGTTGGCTTGCGGCGCATGCGCCTCGTGTGACGGATGCGAAATTGTGCGATGTGTGGTTGCTTGCAGGCAAGCATCCCCCAGTACACCTTCGACGACGCAGGCAGCCCGTCCTTTTCGAAGGACACACTCGTCGCGCTTCTGCCAACCTGCATCAGCGTCGTACCTGTTGATTTTGACGGTGCGGACATTTGGCACTGTCGTGACTTCTCTTGCGACGCACAAGCACACACACACTCACACTCACTCACACACACTCACACCCACACACACACACACTCACTCACACTCACTCACACACACTCACACACACACACACATGCATCTTCCAACCTACCTACCCACACACACACACACACACACACACTCACTCACACCTACCCACACCCACTCTCACACCTTAACACGCTGCATTTGTTTCCTGCAGGCGATGGCGATCTTGATTTGTTCGCCGCGACAATCGGAGGAGCAGACGCCATCCTCTTCATCGAAAACTCTGGTGTGGTTTGAGGCACGAGTACACCCCACACACGGCTCGACCTGTGATCTTGCTCCTGTTTTTTAAGCTTGGGCAAGTCGCGCACAATAATGCCATGTCACTGCGTTTCATGCCTGCCAAGTTCTGTTCACCAGCGTCCTGCTTACCGCTCTGCATCGGTCGACATGCCCCCTTGCTGCAACCAGGTGGCGCCTTTGAACCTCCCGTGACCGTGTTTGACGCTGCGCGCGGCATCAACTTTGTCGAAGCAACCATCCTTAACGCAGATCCAAGACCAGGTGTCACCGCAGTTTTTTTCATGAGCACGTGTCCGTCGTGTTTTAGTTTTGTGCCTGTGATGTTTGTTGTGTCAATGTTGTCACACGTGCCCGTTGTGTAATACGCGCTCATTGTGTGTACCCCACCATAGCTTGTGTTCTCTTGTGTCTCACATGCTTGTCATCTACATGCATGCATCTGTGTCAGCTCTTGTGGTCGCCTCACGACGCGATAACACCATCTGGTTCCTGGAACACACCGCCATCGCCTCTGCCATCGACACAAACAACCCTGCACCCGGATTGGTGCGCAGTTCTTGCTGCTGTGACTACTGTTTTTTTTGTGTGTGTGTATGTGTCGCTGTACACTGTTGCGCTTTTATCGTATCGCATTCCCACTCACACACAACACACACTCACACATGCGCACACACACCCACACACGCACACGCACACGCACACGCACACGCACACGCACACTCACACACACACACACACACACGCGCACACACACACACACACACAAACACACACACACACACCCAGGTGGTGGATGCAAATGGCGTGAACCCGTCCGCTGTGATTGTGGGCGACTTTGACGGGGACCTGGACCGCGATTTGATTGCATCACGACGTGGCGATGACAGCATCCTGTGAGCACATGCATCATCAAAATGTGTGTGTCGTGCGTGCTTTATGAGGTATGCTGCATTTCATTGTGTGCGCGTGTTTTGCACGTCTGTTGGTCACTCACCGCACGTGCTTGCATGCGCTCCTAGGATGTATTTCAACGAATGCTGTGAAGGTGACCCGACCACGACCACGACCACGACCACGACCACGACCACGACCACAACCACTACAACCACAACTACGACCACGACCACGACCACAACCACAACCACAACCACAACAACAACCACCACAACCACCACAACCACCACAACCACCACAACCACCACAACCACCACAACCACCACAACCACAACCACAACCACAACTACGACGACGACACAAGTCGACCTGCCTCCGTGCCAGCTGCACTGCACACCTGAATACGCCTTCACCAGCAACCTTGCCGCCGACCTGGGGAAGTTGGACGGGCTCACAGCTGCAGATGTCAACAAGGACGGTCATATCGGTGCGTCACCCAATTGCCCAACGCCTCTTCTTGCTACTTGCACGCACACACCAACACACGCACACACAAACACACGCACACAAACACGCACACAAACACACACACGCACAAACACACACACGCACAAAAACATACGCACGCACGCACGCACGCACATAAACACCCACAAACACACGCACACATACATGCGATATTCACTGGGGTTTGCATTGTTGCCTGCATGCAGATCTGATTTCGTCGTCATCCAGCGAGCTTCTGTTTATGGTTCACCACAACGAGGGAGGGGGCGTGTTCACGTCCATGCAGCTTGGTCTGGGCCGCCTCGATCCCAAGAAGACAGCAGTCGGTGAGTTGCGACATGCAAGCAAGCGAGGAGGTGACGCAACCGAGTATTTGATGACACGTGCACAAGTTTACCACGAACCCCTATTTCTCTGCGGTGTTGCAATATTTTGCTTCAAGGTGATTTTGATGACGACGGCTACAACGACATCATCACCATTTCCCGGCAGGACGGTGCGTCACACACACACACACACACACACACACACACACACACACACACACACACACACACACACACACACTCTCTCTCTCTCTCTCTCTCTCTCTCTCTCTATACATGGCCTGCAATGTGAATGTGCAGTTTGCAAGCAAGTTGGCCTCCTTGCCATCTGGCGAGCGATTCTTTCACCAAATCACATAATTTGCCGTTCCGTACCGACGCCCATGACATCTCTCACGACCCACTCTCATCTGCACGCGACTGCACACATCTTTGTATTCGTATTGCTTTGTTTTGTGTTTCAGGCCTGTCCCTGCTCTTCTTTGGGACGGAGGACGAGGGCGTGTTTGAACAGCAGCTGCTCTCCGCCACAACGACGCGCGCATTTGATGTGCAGGTGGCAGACCTCGACAAGTGCGTCATCACAACACTTCACCTCTCACCAGCACAGTCTTGTCATATGTGCTTTGTGCCTTCCCTCTGAACTTCTTGCACGCATTTTGCTGTCTGAGCCTTATGTCGTGTACTCATAAACTCCCACGCCAACACCGTGTGATTGCCTGCATGCATCTAGGAACGACATTCCAGACATTGTGATTGCACGTCAGGGCTCAAATAGTATCGACGTCTTCCTGTCGACTGGCTCAAGGACAGGTGTGCGTGTGTGTGTGTGTGTGCATGTGCCTGCGAATGTGTGCGTGGGAATGTGTGTGTGTGTGTTGTGACTATGATGTGATTGCTTGACTGATTGCTTTGTGATGTGCGTGCCGTGCCGTGCCATGTTCTGCTGAACTGCGTCACCTGTGTTGTTTCCCATCATGGCAACACTTTCGTCTGTCGAGGGTGTTGTACTCGCTCAAACACCAACTGACAACATATAACTCTTTGGCATTCTTCCTGGCGTGTGGTTGCATGATTGCGCTTGGCAAGATTTCACGCACGTCGAAGTGACAAACACGGCGACATTCGTGACGTCCGTTGCTCTTGATGACGTGGACGGCGATGGCGATGTGGATATTGTCACCACCCTCCGAGACTCGACGACGGTGAGAATTGATGTTGTATGAATTGTTGCTGTCTCACAACATTTCATGTGGCGTTGAGAGCGTATCGCCACGCGACAGGTGCTCCGCGATTCGCTTTGTGCAGTTTGCCGTTCTTGTGCTCACGTGAGCGCGCTGTTTGCTGCAAACGCACGTGTCACCAGGGCGCACTCAGCTACTACGAGAACACAGACGGAACCGGCACAGCGTGGCAGCAGCACACCATTGCGGCCACGCTCGGCGAACCCATTGTCGTTGTCGCCACCCATTTCAGCGGTATGTGGTCTGATGAGCGACGGTTTGAGCGTGCCACTGATGTCCTTCGAATTCATCACTCAACCCAACTCGCCACACTCACACACCTTAACACACAATCGCACGGGCTCATTCACACACACACACACACCTTCACTCACACGCATTCACACTCACACACACATTCACACACACACACTTGCAATAGATGACGCGAACGTCCACCTCTTTGTGGTCTCTCGCCAGGATGATGCTGTGCAGTACCTCGAAGGAACAGGTGGGGTTGCTTGCAAGCAAATGAAAGGGGATGGAAACAATCGTTCTAGATGTCTATTCCTATGTGGGCGCGTATACCGCGCCAATGAGCACAGTCACATCATGCGGGTGTTGTTCTCCCCACGCTCATGGCGTGTTGTCTTGTTTCACAATTATGTGTGTGTGTGCGTGTCGAGATAGGTGGCGGAAGCTTCGCTGCACCGATTCAAGTGTTCACGTCTCCAGACAACATCTACGACATGCGTGTTGTGACCTCGCACGGCGACGTCGAACCAGGTACGCTGCAATAAGAAGGGCATCCTTGGTGTTTTCCTTGCATGCACGCACAAATGGCTCGGTTGCAACTGCAATTGATGCCAGTGCCACAAATACAACGTGCTTCTTGTGCCACGTGCACACTACCACCTTACCACACCACACAATACCATGGCCACTGATTGCGACCACGCATTGCACTGCGTGTCACGTGCAGGCTTGCTGGTGACAAGCCCGCCAGCGAACCGCGTGTGGGTGTTCAACCACGCCAGCATTGCCACGTCCATTGCCAGCGAGGGAGCAGACGAAGCGGTGCCAACGACAACGGTGACAGATGTACTGAGCCCGCGGTCGGCGGTGCTGGCTGATGTTGACGGCGACGGGGATGCTGATCTTGTCGTCTCATCAACCACTGATGGCACACTGCAGTACGTCGAGGAAGTGAAATTGTTTCTGCGTAAATGTTTACGTGTGTTGTTGTTTGTTTGTCGTGTGTTTGTCGTGTGTATGCATGTATGTGTGGTTGTTTGTTTGCTGTGTGCATGTACGCGCTTGCCTGGGTCGCAGTACCTGTCTGTGATATTCGTCACAACATTTTCTACTTCCCTATTGCTCACTTTTCCAATCTTGATCGCTGACATGACATTGCATCTCAGGCTGCGCGACAACACTTGCTGCCCAGGACCATCAACAACGACCACAACCACATCACACGACGGGTCTTCGACGACAACCACAACCACAACCACAACCACAACCACAACCACAACCACAACCACAACCACAACCACAACCACAACCACAACCACAACCACAACATCCACTTCATCTTCGTCGTTCCTCAACTGCCCCATCTTCCCCGATGGTGGCTGCACTGCAGAACCAGTCACGCTGCCAATTGTCTCCGTGAACGCCCTGCCTGGTATGGATCACGCGCTATGTTGTGATGCATGGTTGGTGTGAAGTGTTGAGTTGTGATGGCTGTTGTGCTGAGTGTTGTTGGGTGTTGTCCAGGTCCACGGCGCTTCAAGTTGTTCATACCTGACGTGTTGATCTTGCGTGCAGGCTCGACGGAAGTGGTAGCACAGCTGGTCAACAACGATGAGTACGTTCATGTGGCGTTATCGATTGAGGGTTGGTCACTTGGTTGCTTGCCTGCAAGCAGGCACCAACAGCCGTACGGCCGACGCTTGTGCCTCTAACACGCACACATACACACACACATATATACACACACACGCGCGCGCACACTCACACAAACACACACACACTCACACACTCACACTCACACACACACACATGCACACACAAACACACATTCACGCACGCACATACGTACACATACGCACACACACGCATTCACGTGTAGCCAACCGGATTACATCGTGTCTGCGACGGGGGCAGACGCCGTGTACTGGATTGACGCAGGTGGGGGCGAGAGCAAAGGGGGGGGGGAGGTTGAAGTGTTGCTCTCACGTGCACAATGCGTTGTGTTGCGTGAATAGGCTGCGCGACTGCCTGTTCAAGTGAGGCGATTGCTGCTGTTGCTCACAGCGCTCTCTTGCTGACGGTCTGACTTTGACCAATCGTTCATCTATGTAGACGGCTTCACATCACCGGTCCACGAGATTGCACGCGTGAGTATGTATGTGTGTGTGTGTGTTTGTGGATGCGAGTGATGTATTCGCTTGAGCCTCAAGAACAGCATCACGAACTTTGTCTGCCGAGAGTCACAGACCGCATTGCCTTGCCTTGCCTGCATGCGCGAGTGCTCATTTGACATTGCTGGTGGCTTGGGTGGTGTTTAACTTGTTGGTTGCACTGTGTTGTGCGCGTGTATGTGCAGATTTCTGGCGGGCTGCCGTCTGCGATTGCGAGTGGCGACATCGATGGCGATGGCGTTGCGGACGTCGTTGTTGCCTGGACGGGTCTTGGGTGAGCTGTGTGTGCGTGTGTGTGTGTGCGTGTGCGTGTGTGCGTGTGCGTGTGCGTGTGCGTGTGTGCGTGTGCGTGTGTGCGCGTGTGAGTGTGTGCAATTGCTGCGCTTGGTATGGTTTATCAATGCACAGGCACATCATCGTACTCATGGAGCCACCCCCCCCCCAAAACAAAAAAACAGGCTGGTGACGATCCATTTCAACGACGGCAACGGAGGCTTTATCCAGTCGACCGTGGCCACATCCCTCGTCTCAGGAACGCTGAACCAGCTGCAGACGGCCAACCTCAATGGCGACGGTAAGGCATGACACACCGGTCCCGGACCGAAGGAAGTGGTAGTGGCAGGCAGGACAGGGTGTGTCTGCCTATGTGCTTGCCTGCAGTAAGCAAAGTTTCACAATTGTTCGCTTCCTTGGCCAACACATTCACACCCACACCCGCACCCACACCCACGCTCACACTCACACACACACACACACACACACACACACACACACACACACACACACACACACACACACACACACACACACACACACTCACACCCACACCCACGCTCACACTCACACTCACACTCGCACACGTGCACGTGCACATACTTGTGCGCGCGACACTACAGACTACGCTGATATCGCCATTCGGGATGAGCAGGGTGGGCGTGTCATCTTGTTGCTGAGCACAGGCGAAGACAACGGTGGGTACAAATGAGAACAGAGTTGTGTCAACCAGCGCGCTTGCTTGCAGGTAATTGAGTTTGTTGTGACTGACTCTGGTTGTTGGTGCTGCATCGAGCACTTGCTGAAGTCTCATGAGCGAGAGTGTGGAACCTGTTGCAGGCTTCACGCGCGTGGAGATTACGACACCCGACAGTGGGCCGGCAAAATCCATCAAGCTCGCAAATCTGGACGGCGATGAGGTGTGTGTGTGTGTGTGTGTGTGTGTGTGTGTGTGTGTTTGTAAGTACAGTGGTTGTCAAGAGTTTGCGTGTTCAGCAATGCCATCCTCACCACTGCATCGTTTGCAATTGTCCATCACCAATTCACGAATAACTGCTCGCGTGACAGCATGTGGATCTATTGATTGGGCTCGAAACGGGCGTTGCTGTATTCATCAACTCTGGCTCCGGCACGGAGGACCGCTTCATACACACATCAACCATTGCCACGCAGTGCAGGCGTGTATCAAGGTGTGTGTGTGTGTGTGTGAAGCTTGTTGCGATTACGAACAAGTGTAACAGTACATGTGTGTGCATATGTGTGTACATGTGTGTGTGTGCATGTGTGTGCGCGTATGTGGCGCACGTGTGCATACGTGTGTGTACCTCTGGGTAAGAGACCTTGCGACCTTGAGACCTTGGAAACCACGCGGTGTTTGTTCGGCAATGGCGGTTGTGGTTGCCAGAATGTACTCACACCCCCAACTGCTGTCACATCATGCCTGCACAGCATTGCGGTTGGCGACCTGGATGGAGATGATGACATGGATCTGGTGCTTGGGTGTCAACGCGACAACGACGTGAAGATGGCGGTTCGCCAGTTGGGCGGTGTTGGGTCATACACCGTCACAAAGATTGCAGACAGCATCCGCCGCGTCTTCTACATGGAGCTTGCAGGTGCGTGTAACTTCCCCGTGTGTGTTTGTTGATGCGTGTGTGAGTGTGTGTGTGTGTGTGTGTGAGTGTGTGTGTGTGTGTGTTTATGCGTGTATGCATGTGTGTTTATGCGTGTGTTTATGCGTGTGGGTATTCGGTTGTTTTTTGCGTGTTGTTCATGCCTGTCCATGTGAGAGCACACTATGTGCGTTCGTGCTGTGTGGTTCATGTACATCGAACGAACGTCCCTCCCCTCTCCATCTCTCATTCACATGTGTTTTTTTTGTGTGTATTGTTGGACAGACATCAACCAGAGCGGGTTCAAGGACGTGGTGTTTGTGGATGATCGCCACGGCATCACATATGCCCTCATCAACCTCCTTCCCGCCAACGGCCAAACCGAGCTTGCGTTTGACCTGAAAGAGATTGACGCCAGCATCATTGCTGCACCAGCAGGCTTTGCCATTGCAGACTTTGAGGGCGACGGTGACGCGGTACGTACGGGTGTGCATGGTGGAGGGGGGGGGGCGCGCTGCTGTGTCTTCTGTTTGTGGGTGCTGTTATAGCGTTATGTACATCACATGACGTAGTGACGTGTGACATCTCGCGCTTGATGCACATAACACACTCACACTCACACATACATACATACACACATACACACATACACACGCGCGTACACTCTTACACACTCACTCACACATGCACCCTCATTCACCCTCATTCACACAGGATGTGGTGATTGCGGGAGATTCGCGCCTGTTTGTGGCAGCCAACACGTGCTGCCACGTACTGTGAGAGCTCGGAGAGAGTGTGTAAAGGTGTGTGAAGGGTGTGGAGTTACAAGCAACAGGCAGACAAGAAGTTCAGGTGCCATTCACAACAAGTGGTGGTCTGGTGTGTTGCACTTTTTCTCTCTTCTTCACTTGTCTCCTCCCCTCGCCTCGATTAGAATGGCGTCACTCGGTGTGTCGCGTGCTCCTCTTCGCCACCATTCGATGTGCATAGTTGTCCTAAATCTTACATAAATTTTCGGCTCTTGCCGTTTTTGGAATGCGTGCGATTTCAAGCGCGTCGCGGGTTGCTTGCCGAATTGGTTGGTTCGTGTGTGTGAGGTTGTGATGGTGGTGCGTGGTGTGTGTGCGCCATATCTTGCCACACACAAACACACACACACACACGCACAAACAACAGTTCACACCATAGCACACCGCACCACCAGCCAGTCAGCTCAACACACCACGGTTCTACGGGTTACCGTTTCCAAACACGGGTTTGGAACGAACAACAACAACAAGCGTGCAAGCAAGCCTGCAAGCAAGCCTGCAAGCAAGCCTGCAAGCAAGCCTGCAAGCTGGAAGCGGGATCATCAATCAGACACAGTTTCATTGTTCCATTGTTTCGTTGGAGCGTGCGTTCTGTTCGTGCTCTTCTTTTCAGCAAAGCGCCGTGCCATCTGTGTGAAGGCGGTGAGCTGTGACGGTTTTCGAGCGGAGCAGAGCGGTGGCTATCTATTTTTGAGCAAAAGGAGGCAAGAACATGTTCAAGGTCGGGTTCAAAGGGGCGCCATCGCCGCCATCCGCGGCAGCTGACAAGCCAGGTGAGCAGGAACGTGTGTGTGTGTGTGTGTGTGTGTGTGTGTGTGTGTGTGCTGTGTGTGTGTGTGTGTGCTGTGTGTGTGTGCTGTGTGTGTTTGGCGTGTGGCGTGATGTTACATTATGTGGATGGTGGCACGAACAAGCGCCACACGGTGACACGAACACGCACCTTTTGTTCTTTCGTGCTTTCCCGCCAAAACAGAGAGAGAGAGAGTGTGTGTGTGTGTGTGTGTGCGTGTGTGTGCGTGTGCGTTTGTGTGCGAGAAAAACAGATCGATGCTTACTTGCTTGCTTGGTTGCTCTGTCGGTTTGTGTGCATGATCTCAACCCCCCCCCCACGTTCGTTATGTGACGCTGTTCTCATTTTCTGCCGTCCCCCCTCTGACAACAGCGCCCATGATGAAAGGGTACAGTCGGCTGCTGCCGCTCGGGCGGTCACCCAAGAAGTTCAGCCACCAAGGCAGTGTGCACGAGCGTGGCTCCTCCACCTACACCGTCACACTCGAGCTTGGGCCATGCGGTGAGATTCTGCATGCATGTGTGTGTTTGTGTGATGTGGTGTGTGTTGTGGTGTGGTGAGTTGTGTTGAGTTGTGTTGTGTGTGTTAGTGTGTGGTGAGTTGTGTTGTGCACTTTTGTGCATGTGTGCGTGTGTGTGTGTCTGTGTGTGTCTGCATGTGCATTCGTGCTGTGAGCGTTGTACTTGTTTGTATGCTCACTTCTCTTGGCCTCGATGCCCTCTGCACAGGTCGACTTGGTATCCTCACTGCGGAGCGACCAAACATGTCGGCGTATTCATCCAAAGTCGCTGTGGTTGTGCGGTACGTTTGGCGTTGCGTGCATGTGGGCATGCGTTTGGGTGTTAGACAACGACAACCATGATCCTCACACACACACACACACACACACACACACACACACACACACCTTCCCGTTTTGCACCTGTGTGCACGCTCTTTCTGACCCTGCTGTGCTTCGACTGCTGTGCAGGGAGGTGTTGCCTGGATCACCGGCGTGGGTGGCGTGCATTGTGGCGCGGCAACGGCAGGGTGCGTCCACCACCAGTGACGAGCACGCCATCCTTCAACCAGGCGACATCATCTTGAAGGTGTGTGTGTGTGTGTGTGTGTGTGTGTGTTCATGTGTGTGTTCATGTGTGTGTGTTCATGTGTGAGTGTTCATGCGTGTGTGTGTTCATGTGTGTGTTCATGTGTGTGTTCATGTGTGTTCACGTGTCTGTGTGTTCATGTGTCTGTGTGTGTGTGTTCATGTGTGTGTTCATGTGTGTGTGTTCATGTGCATACAGAAACATGTGTGAGACTCGAAGAACAACTCTTGATGTTCGAATTGTCAAGTTCAATGAACGCCGTTGTGCTGTCCATAGTATACTGCCCACAGCTTCTCCATGACTCTCCTCACATGTTGCTCCCCCTTTGTTGCACACCATGCCTGGTTAGGCAAACGAGGAGAGCCTGTGTGGGCTGTCGCGGGAGCAGGCGTTGGCGCGGTTGCGAGAGGAGACGGAGCGGGAACCCGTCATCCGGCTTGTGCTGCAGCGTGTGCCTGCAAGCACGCGATCCAAGCTCAACTACCGCGTCATTTTTCCCGAGGCCAGCGTTGACTCCGCCCCGCCATCCTCTCACTCCCGCCGCAGCCGCCGCACCTCGCTCACTCACTTTCACACATGATATGCGTGTGTGTGTCTGTGTCTGTGTGTGCGTGTGTACGTGTCTGCGTTGTGTTTATGCTGCAGTTGTAACATGCAAGTGAAACAAACAAAACGACTGCCGTATTGAAGAAGTAAACGAACCCCACCCCAGTCGCAGAGTCATACTCCTCGTGTGGCTTGTGTGATGCGTGTCAAATGAGTGGCGCGTGGGTGGATGATGCAGCCGTGTGAGGCAAGAAGAAAAAAAAAAAAAAAAAAGGGCGATCGAATATCGCTCAAGGGAGGGCGGAAAGAAGATGGGAATCCACTTTTCGATTGCAGAAGCTTGCGATAACCCTTGAGCCACGGATCGCTGCCTTGAGTGCTGGATTTTGCCTTTTTAAACCCTTCTCGGAAAAACTCGTGTTTAATGTCTGCCGCAAAAAGTTTGAACACACCAAAACACAACACACACACACACCACACACAACACACAACACACACACCACACACACACACAACACACGCACACACACACACACACACACACACACACACAACACGCACACACAGAAGCGCACTGGTCAACCTCCGTCTGTCGCACTGGCATCGTCATCTCCCGCAGCAGTAACAGCATCGTCATCTCCACCACCACCATCGCCACCACCACCATCGCCAGCAGCAGCGTCGTCATCTGCTTGTGGCGGTGGGGTCTCGACGACGTCTGGGCTGCCGTTCTTGAGGCCGTCCATAAACGCCAGGCGCTCTTCCTCGCTCGGCCACACGGGGTAGCCGTGGTCTCCCAGCGAGATGTTGGCGGGCCACTCTGCGCCAAAGTCCATCACGTTGTAGTCGCTCCCGCTCATGGGAATGTCGGACGCCGCAATCCGCGCCCCGTCATTCGTCCTGAAAGAGTGAGTGAGTGAGAGTGAGTGAGTGAGTGTATCACAGTTTTGCTGATGCGGCACACTCCATACTGACAGACGGCACACAGCCATGACGCATCAAACCCCCACACCACGCCCCCTTTCCCAAAATACAAACCACCATGCTGCCTCCGCCCACCTGATGTATCGGCCGTAGAAGCTGCGGGGGAACCCCTTTGGCCGGAACAGCGCCATGAGCTGTGGGCCGCAGTAGTGCGTGGAATACCCAGAAGGACTCACGCTACACGTGCACACATTGAACGGCGACCTGCATTGGCGGAAACACGCAAACAGCGAACCGGGCACTGCATGTGAGGCACAGTAAAATACAGCACACACACACACACACACAAACACACACCAACGCACGCACACACACACACACACACACACACACACACACACACACACACACACACACACACACACACACACACACACACACACACACGCACGCACGCACGCACACACACACAGAAACGCACGCGGTGTAAAAGGCTGCGCTGGTGTAGCCCCTCTGCATGCAGACTTGGGCGCAGTCGTCCACGTTGTTCATGTCCATGGTCTCGCACTCGCCAAACTTGTACTCCCGACGCTGTTGGTTTGTTCATGTTCACGCAGCGTGGAAATGGCTTCCGTGAGCTTGGGTGCATGTCTGCAAGGAAGTTGGAAAAGCCAAAGCAACGCAACAACCTGTACACTACATTTACACACACACACACACACACACCAACGCACATGCATGCACACCTGTCTTCCGTCGCGTGGCACCATTTCCATACCACTTGTCCGCGCCCTGGGCGAGGAAGTGTGCGTGTGCGTGCATTGACGTGAGCGTGAGGTGTGCGTGGGTGAGCAAAGATGTAAACACACACACACACACACGCAAACAAATACACACAGATACATACACGCACGCACCGACGCACACACACATACACATACATACATTCACAGACACGCACAGTTGCCGCGATGAAATGGCGAGGATGTCTTCGTCTGTGAGCTTGTCCAGCAGGTCTTGTGGAAGCTCGTCCTTGATAAACTGCGGGATGGGGAGGCGCACCCTTGTGTCAAAGTCGCCGAGGTTGAAGTCGGGCATCTCCGGCTCCTCTTCCAGCGGTGGTAGCTCGGCACACGCCGGCGGGAACGGCAGCATGGACAACAGCAGCAGCGGCGGCGTCAGCGTCGCCACCACCACAAGCACCCACACCATGCGACCACCACGCGTCGCGCACATGTCTCTTGTCGCACCGGTTCACAGTCAATGCAGCCATGCTTTGGCCCTGAGCCGTGTGCATCACACCTAGCGCCATGATGCAGACACAAGGAGAGAGAGGGGGAGAGAGATAGAGAGGGGGAGAGAGGGGGGGGGGGAGAGGAGGAGGAGGCAGCACACCCATGTGCTTCCGAACCGTCAGAAATGTTGTGAATGATTTTGCATAACAATCGACATGGCCGGCAGAGATCGCAATGGTGTTGTGGTGGTGGAGGACGACGACGATGATGGGGATGGCATTGTCCAGCACCACCGGCAGCCACAGCAGCATCAACAGCCACAGCAGCAGCAGCAGCAGCAGCAGCAGCAGCAGAAAGGCGGAAATGGGAAGCCAGTGAGTGCAAACACGGCGGCCGAAACAAAGGCAGCGGCCATCGCGCTCCTCAAGACGCTCAGACCAACGGTGGGAAGCACAGCCAGCATCCCCGACACGATTTCCGCGGTCCCGCAGCTGCCGCTCGCTGTGCCACTGCTTCCACCACCGCCTGCGGACCTGAGCGACCAGCAGGCTAAGTGAAGCCAAAACACGACTTCTACCTGGATGGTTCATCTGTATGAACACGCTGCCTGCAACTGCATCAATTGCACCTGCAACAATTGCAACTGCATCAACCCAAACAACTGCAACCACTGCAGCCACGGCGCGGCCCTTCCCCTTGTTCCAAGTGCACCCATTGAGGACAGAGACGACTGCCTTGATCGTTATCTGAGTGTGCCGGCTTGAGGCTGCGTGAGAACCTTGCTTGGTGGCAGTCGTCATTCAACGCGACCACCAGCTTGTGACCGCGTGCATCGACAGCGCCTTTCAGCTGCGCACATCAGCGCCAACAGCACAACGCTTACTCAAGGATGCAGGCTGTCAGGAATCCGTGGCCATGGATCCTTGGCCGTGCTTTGCACGCACCCCCCCCCCGACTGCGACTGCACAATCGCTACCGTGTAGGGGTTTGTCTTGTGTTGACATCACGAATGCATGCCTCGCGACTCGAGATAGAGTGTGGTTCGCTTGCACCACGATGCCCCCCCTCCCAATAAACCCTCGCGCACACACACGAAACCGTGGCCAGCCATAACACTCGCACACTTGTGAGGAGACAAGAGGGAGGAAGTAGACTGTGGCACCACAGCACGCAAAGGGGGCGGAAGGGGGGGGGGGGGGGAAGGAGGAGCAGCACCCACAGTGGTGCTCATATTGGCTACACGATATGGTGTCGTGTCGCGGCCCTGACTTGGCGATCGCATTTTTCGTCCTTCGCTGCATTCGTCTTGCTGTGCTTACCGACCTTGGCTGAACGGACGGAAGGTGCGTGTTGTGTTGGTTGTGTTGTTGTCGCCATCCCACCAAGGAGCACGTCAACCCCTGCGTGCGGATGTGTGTGTGTGTGTGTGTGTGTGTGTGTGTGTGTGTGTGTGTGTGTGTCGGAGCACAACACCACCAGCACCGGCAATGTTGGCTGTGTTTGTTGTCTCGTTTGTTTTGACCGTTATCCTCTTGCTTGCTTCTTGCTGCATGTTTTGGTTTTCCGTGGTGGCTGTTGCTGTTGTCGTTGCTGTAGGTGTCCTTGTCCATGAAGGCCATCCTAAGCTAACCTACCAACCCACAAACCAATCAAACAGCCAAACGAGCCGCAGCAGCAACAAAACAAGAAAGGAGCAACCGTCAGAACCGTCAGAACCGTCCTCTCTTCACTCCCACCCAACGAAGCAATGACGCCATCCATGGCCAGGTTGGCGGCGTGCGCAGCGCTCTTGAGCGTCCTGTGCTGCAGCTCCTCCTTCGTTGCCGCAGAAGAGCAGTGCAACGTCGATAGGCCCGGTGAGTCCAATGTCACGGAGTTGCGCCAAAAGCCGCAGCGACAGCAAGCCAAGCAATCAATGAGTGCGACTGCACAGGCGTGCTCTTCCTTCTGTATTTCGTCACATCACTCACACAGCGTCCACCATCACCAAACCAACCAACAACGCAACACGACGTCAGAATGTGGGTTCTTAAACAACAGGCAGTGCCCAGACCCTGCGAGCGGCCACCCCTCGCACCTGAATCGCTGCTGTCAGAAAGACTCGCTCGGCTGCTACACGGCGTGCTGCGCAGACTACTTTGGGAGCAGCATCGCCACCGTCGTCGTCATGGCCGTCTTCCTCACCTTCTGCTTGCGTATGTTCACGAGCACGTGTGTGTGTGTGTGTGTGTGTGTGTGTGTGTGTGTGTGTGTGTGTGTGTGTGTGTGTGTGTGTGTGTGTGTGTGTGTGTGTGTGTGTGTGTGTGTGTGTGTGTGTGTGTGAGTGTGAGC